TCGTTCTCTTTCCCTTTTCTCTTTCTTTCTCTTCTTTTTCTCTTATCTTCAATGATTCATTTAAACAAATTTTGCATTGCAAAAATAGTTTCTTAGAAAGGGAAATTTCTTTAAATTCCTTGCATAATTTATGAAATTATTTTTAGATTCATACAATTTCACATGAAATTGGCCATGCGTTAGGTTTCTTGCATACTCACACTCGCGCAGATCGCGATCAGTATATTTGGATTAAATTTAGCAATATTCAGGTAAATTCTTTTAACCTTTTTTAAACAGATTTTTTTTGTACGAAAAAAGACAAACAAAAATTTGAAATGCTAAATGCTAAATGAATAATTATGATAATTAAGCATGATTTTAATTTTCCGTTTTTAATTAAATTTTAATGATCCATTTATTTATTCAATCAGAATATCAAATATAAAACAATTAGAGTAATGTTGTCTCACAATATGCAGCATTATTACAATTACGATGATATTTTTATATCAATCTCTTTTCATAGGTTGTTATCAAATAATTGTATTAAAATTTAAACACTTTGCTCAATTTACTTATTTTGTTTATAAATTTAAATTATCAAATCGATTAAAACATATATATTACAAATTTTAGAACGGTTTATCGTCAAATTTTATGCGTACATCACAAGGAAAAAATTATAATTATGGACTTCCGTATGATTACGGCAGCGTAATGCATTACGGCAAAAAAGCGTAAGTTTAAAAAATGAAAATTTAATAAAATAAAATTATAAAACTTTGAATGTGATCGAATTTAAATTTAATTCAACACTAAATTGACAAACTTAAATGTGGCGATATTTTTTTAAAATCATTAAATTATAATTTGCTATCAATTTGCTATTGACAATTAAAAACTTGCATATCTCTTAAATTTATAAGTAATAATGATTTAATTTTCATTCTCGAATATTTTAGATTTACAGGTAGTGTTGATTTAACACCCATTCTCGAATATTTTAGATTTACAAGTAATAGCGGTTTAACTATCGTTCCTCGGATACCGTTATACGAAGATACGATGGGTAGCGGTACCGGACCATCATTTATCGATCTTCTCATGATGAATACACATTACCGATGCTTAGGTAAGCAATTATTTGATTTACTAATACAAAAAATAATAATTATTGACAATTTTATCGAATGCAAAATTAAAAATTCTACCAATGTTATCATATTTCATCAATCGATTTATATCGATTTTTATCTTTTAAATTATCTGTTAAATTTTCATCTACTCAATTATTTATTCAATTGTTTATTTTTCTCTAATAAACATTTTTAATAAAATAAAAGTTTGAAGAAAAAGGAATTTTTAAAAATTCTCATAATATAAATCATAAAATTTTACTAAATCACTAGAAAAGTAGTAAGATTAAAAGGTACCATTCATGAAATGAGTAAATATAAATTGGGTAAAAGTTCATTTTTTTTGAAAAATTTTTGAGAAATTTACTAATAATTCATTATTAT